CGCATCCGGGCCAATTATGCGGTACACGGCCTCAACATGAATCCCGCGAAGTGTGAGCTCTTCATCCGTGGCTTTTCGGAGTCAGAGTCTTCTGACATATACCGGAAGATCGCTGAGGTCTTACCGGGCTGCCGCCTTCTCGTTGATGAGTCCGCCGTCGGCCTCCTGGGTGCTCCGGTCTTCGATGCTGGAATAGCTCCAGCGCTTGAGGCGAAGAGCTTGGTGTATGAGACCATCTTTCGACGACTGCAACACGTGGGGAGTCACGTTGCCACTTACATCATGCAGAGAGCGGCGGGCGTACCCAAGCTCACATATTTACTTCGTGCAAGTCCTGCCTATAAGATGAACGCACTTCTGGGTCGCTTGGATGACCAGTTCGTGTCCGCGTTTGAGAGCATCCTGAAAATCTCCTTATCTGGCGATGCTCTCATCCAGCTTTCTCTGCCCACCTCTCTCGGAGGGATGGGTATCCCGACGCCGTCAAAAGTCGCCCTGCCAGCGTTTGCCGCTTCCTGCCATGGCGCAGAACCAGACGTCCTCGACATCCTGGGCGGACTGGCTTCTTGCGTGTACCAACGAGGGGAGGCAACGGCTGACTTCTTAGCGAGGTATGGCTCGACCCCAGCCGACGGTGAACGAACCCGTCAGGGCGTATGGATGCGCACTGCTGACGAAAAGATTATGACGGAGCTTCGCCTGAAGCTCGCTTGTTCTGAGGTGGATTCCATCCGGCTCAGCAATGCGGCTCTCCCGGAGTCTGGCTGGTGGCTTCAGGCCCTGCCCAGCGAGAATATCGGCACACTTCTATCGGACGTTGACTTTGTACGGGCAGTGAGTCTCCGACTCGGATTGCCGATCGTAGAGGAATGCGCATGTGTCTGTGGTTCTCGGATCGATAGATTGGCTCTTCATAGGCTCAGCTGCTATAAGCTTGCTTCCGGTCGGTTGGCGCGTCATGCGGCGATCAACGACCTCTTAGTACGTGCCCTACGTCAGGCGGGAGTTCCTAGCACTAAGGAGCCTCGGAACCTTTCGTCGAATGATGCGCTCCGGCCTGACGGCATGACTATAGAACCGTGGTCTCGCGGCAAGCGAGTTATCTGGGACGTCACGGTGAAGGATTCGTTCGCACCGAGCTACCGTGGTATCGCACGAAATTTACGTGCGGTGGCCTCCAGGGGCGAACAGGAAAAGCAGGCCAAATACGAATCCCTGCTCAATGAGTACATTCTGATACCTTTTGTAATCGAGTCCTCTGGGGTCTGGGGGAAGGAGGCCCTCAAGTTCGTGAGGGAGATTGGTCGGAGGATCGAGAGCGGAGACGGGAACTCGAGGGCTACTGCTTTCATCCGGCAGCGTATCGCAGTCGAGGTAGAGAGGGGGAATTCGAGAATGATAGCGGGTGGAATCTTCCAGTGTGGGGCCCTCGGGGAACTCAGTTTCCTGGGCGGCTAATTTTTCCCAAGTCTTAGTCTCACTTGATTCAATTTTCTCTGAATAAACCGAAAGGTAATTCTCGAGGACATTGGTTTCGAGATTCGTTCGAGCCACTCCGAGAGCTTCTCACTTATGAGGAGGTAGCCCGGCATCCTCAGAGATTCGCTTGACAGCGTGCAAAGTGTTCATGGTCTCGGATTGTGACTGATGTGCACTCGATTTGCAGCACCTATGTACTAGGGCACAACTTGTGGCGAATTTCATTATCTAGCGCGATAGACATGGCTAATCGCATTTGGAAATGTTTCTGCTTGCAATCCCGGAAGCTCGAATACGGACATCCGAACAGAGAAGCGGAGTCCAGCGTCTCGAACCCTTTGAAGGCTCTTCCGGGAACAAGATTCGCCGCTCGTTACCTCGTGAGTCTTGTCTTGATTCTGGAGAGAGATCATGAGCTCCGACACACCGAGGCGTCAAATACCGGATGGCGCGGTGAGCCGCAAAGCCAAGTGGAACAGTGATTCTTGGGAAAAGACTCAGAGTAAGTTGAAGCGGCATTGCGGTGAAGGGAAGACAGCTTTCGTCGATTGCTCGCATGCAGCAGACTCTTCGATCTGCCAAGCTAACAAGCTCACACAGGACGACCTCCAATACGTGAATTCGCTGATGTACCAAGACGCAGACAAAGTCAGACAGGATGCCTTCATTACCTCGTTCGTAGGTTTCGAGAGCGTGCAACGTCGTAGACCACGAGCGGGCTCAGCGGATAGTCGTCAGAGAGATTACACGGCACAATACTCAATCCCGGTGCTGAGGAGTCAACCAGCAGTGAGGGTGTGTGCCGCAAGTTTTCGCAGCATAATGGGCGTGGGTGCGAAGGGGGTTCACAACCTGATGAAGTTCAAGATTGAGGAAAAATGTTCCCGTCCCGAAAGAAGAGGAGGCCGGCGAATCAATGAGGCTCACGAAGAGAAGAAGAAGTTAATACGAGAGCACATTGAGCGCTTCCAGTGCAAAGACTCTCACAATGCTCGTGCCAACGCTCCGAAGCGACAATACTTGTCGAGTGTACTGAGTGTCTCGAAAATGCACACTATGTTCCTCGAAAGTCATCCAGATTCCGGAGTAGGGTACAAAACCTACTACCATACGTTTGCTTCCGAATATAATCTGGCATTCGGTCACCCACGTACGGATGTCTGCTCCACTTGTGTCAGCTTCACGGAGAAGCTTCGGGTCGAGCAGGATGAGGAGAACAGGAAACTCATTGTCGCAGACCAAGCATTGCATCGGTCCCGCGCGAAAAAGTTCCATCCATCCTCTTCATGAGGGCCTCAAACATTTCCTCGGAAATCATGATCCTCGTCGCCAATTGTCGTATCGTGAAAGAGACTACTCTTCGTCGTCTATGAGACTTAGCGAAAAGATTCTGACAGAATTACATCAAGGGCATCCCGGAATGACGAGGATGAAGAGACTAGCCAGGAGTTCCGTGTACTGGCCTAAGCTGGATGTGGACATCGAAGAGACTGTTAAAGGCTGTGAGGCCTGTGTTCAGGAGAACAGAGATTTGAGGAAGGTTCCGCTACGTGCATGGCACCCTTCTGTTCGACCGTGGCAGCACGTGCATATCGATTTTGCAGGGCCCCTCGATGGATTTATGTTTCTAATCGTGGTAGACGCTTTTTCAAGATGGCCTGAGATCGTGTGTTTAAGACAAGCGACGACTTGTTCTACTCTGGCGGCACTGGAATCGATCTTCGCAAGATTTGGCAATCCGGAAGTGTTGGTCGCGGACAACGGCAGTCAATTCAGCGCGTCGCAGTTCTCGGAATTCTGTGCAAATCGTGGAATTCAACTTTTGCATTCGCCCCCATTCCATCCGCAGTCGAATGGTCAGGCGGAAAGATTCGTCGATATATTCAAACGAATGTTCAAGAAAATTCGCTCGGAGGGGCGGAGCACGGAGGAAGCTTTGGCTAAGATGCTTTTCACCCCAGGTCTACAGAACAAAACGCCAGCTGAGTATTTCTTGGGACGACCGCTGCGTACGACTCTATCCCTGCTCAAAGAAAGTTTCTTGATGCCAGGTTCGGCCGAAGGTGTCGACCGAAGCAGAGACAAAGAGCACTTCGATAGACGGCATGGAGTCCGAGAAAGAGTCTACAACGAGGGGGATCTCGTTTTCGCGAAAGACTTCCGGAATCCAGCAAAACCCAAGTGGGCAGCCGGCATTGTCTGCGAGCGCTCGGGGAAAGTTCGTTATAGAATAAGAGTCGACGGGAACGAGTGGATTCGACACGCGAATCAAATCAAACCCCGGCTGGAAGATACTCGAGCGAGTGCCACAGGCGCGGAGGAGCCAGCAGTTGGAGACTGTGAACCTCTGTTGTACATGTTCCCTTCTTCGGAACGGCCCAACAACGATCCTTCGGAGACGGTACTCAGGCAAGCTGAAGTTTTACCCAGACGTTCCACACGATTCAATAAGGGTATGAAACCATGTCGTCTTGGTTACGATGACTGAAGATTCAGCTGTCGGGTGCCAGGAGGCTCAACAACTTGGGGGAGGTGTCGGGTCGGGGACTATAAATAAAGCGGCGTAGTCGATAGGTACGCTAAGTCTCATAGACGACGAAGAGTAGTCTCTTTCACGATACGACAGTCTGAGGCTCTCTGATTGCGTAGTTTTTTCATCTGCTCGATCGGGGCTCTCGTTAGGGTTATGGTTTCACCGGTCACGCTCTTCGTCGAACCGGTGAGGAGGTGGTGTCACAGCTTTCTTGGTCACTCAGTTTATGCTCTAGCTCCCAATGTTCACTCAACACACACGCACGATAGTTTATAGTCACTGAAACCGCTGTTCAGCTTATTCCACCGGTAGCACACTTTTTCCGTTCTTTGTTGTCGCCTAGCAGACGACGTTTTTTTTCAGACTGTTTCAATCTCTTCATGATTTTCCAGGGGTTAACTCGATATTCAATAGCTTTGGCTAGCTGGCGTTCGAAGTTTTTGGTTTCCGCTCTCCCGAGGAGTAGCACTAATCCGTTTCTTTGCATCTTGAATTTGGCTAGAAGGAGTTTCGTGTTCGCAGCGGAGGCGTTACGACGCATATGACGTTCGTATTTTTTCCTGAGTAGGTCGCGGTGCCTCATTTCGTCATCTAGATCACTTGTGGGCGTCGGGAACGTCCGCCAGGGCCCTCCGAAAGAGCCTCCTCGACTCTCTGCAAGAGCCTCTCTTGAAAATTAGAGTAAGCCTCATTAGCTAAGGATAGTCTCAGTTTGTCGACATTGATCTTCTTCTTTTTTTTGTCGGTGACTGAAATATGCTCATCTTTAGGGTGCACAGGACCGCCGTTGGCAAAGTCGGTCTACAAATCAACACGAGCAAGACTCACAGGCCATGAAGTTCCGACGGGGTGGGAAACTGGCAAGGACCGATGTGCTCTACCTGAACGTAGAGAGCGTCAAGATCGGGAATCCCTCCGCGTACCTGGCAGTCACGCTCACGTGTGCACTCTCCTTCAACGCCCACATGGAGGAACGCCGAACGAAAGCACTGGTTGCCAGCAGCAGCATCGCGACGCCCCGAAGGGCACTCGCGCGGTTCGATCTGAAAGCACCGGTCGCCAGCTATGGCACAACGATCATCCGAAGAATACTGTCAGTCGCGCAGCTGGAGACTCTAGAGCGAATCTAACCCGCCTACCTGAAGCGTGTCCTCGGCCTTCACGTGACGACGAAGAACAGATTCGTCTGTCTACTAACCGACACCAAGCTTTTCGTGGAGGACCTACGAGACCGCTACAAGCTCGGGAGTGCATCAGCTTCCGAAGAGGTTCTCGAGATTAGGAGGAGGAAGACGGCGGAAGTGGACCCTCTCTTCTATGAGACAGAGGCCATGAGGAGCGAAAAGTGGAAGGAAGCATCCATGGAGACAAGGCATATGTATGACGACCCACTTCGCCGCTCTGATAGTGATAACGAGGAGTCGGTCTGTCCGGTGAGAATAATAGTTCTATCTACTACTCTAATTGGTTATTTCGTTTTCCATGATGCGGGGTGATTCTTGAATTCGGGCTGATTCGCTGAGCGCAACCTCTGGTGTGCCGAGCTCTTTCGAGTCCGAGAGCCGCTCTCTTTCCGGAGTCACGGAGTGGTGTCCGCGGTGTCGTGTGCGTCCTTCTGTTGCGCTGTTTCACGTTGAGTCTGGTTGCCACGTTCTGCCATGGCACGTCTCCCCCGCGCGCACGAGGCAACGCGGCACCATGGTGAGTCGTCTGTCGTGTCCAACCGTCGCAGTGAGACGGTTGTGTCTTGTTACAACATAATCGAGAGAAAATAACGTAGCGAGGATATCGAAAAAATTGTGGAATATCCAGTAAGTCAATTTGGAGCCTTTGGAACTTCAACATATTCGGTTGTGGACCCGCGAAGCCGGTGAACTTTGACGACTTTTTAGTTGTTGTGAAACGCCACGTGGTAAGGAGCCGTTGACGCGACGGCGAAAAAAAATGCGGAGCGAGTAAGATCCGTTCGAATGTGTGAGCGTGGGACGGAATGATTGAACTGAGTTGATCAGCCTAAAATCAGGGAGGTGAAGAACGCAACAGATTGAGAACTTTCGAGATAGAGACCGTCTCAGATAAAGGACGTTTCAAATAGAGACCGTCTCAGATCAGGGACGTTTCAGATAGAGACCGTTTCAGATAAGGGACGTTCCAGATAGAAACCGTCTCGGAAAAGGGACGTTTCAGATAGAGACCGTTTCAGATAAGGGACGTTCCAGATAGAAACCGTCTCGGATAAGGGACGTTCCAAATCAGCGGTTCCCAACCATTTTGGCTCTGCGGCTCCCTAGCAGACCCAGAATTCCCCTACGGCTCCAGGATGCCCAGTGCCCAGTGCCGTGATTATTATTATGATTTTACCGTAATCATACGTGTGATTATGATTATAATCATACGCACTCGTGTGATTACGGCCATAATCATACGCATGTCTGTGATTATAATCATAATCACACGTATGATTGTGATTGTAATCATACGAATGCGTGTGATTAGGGTGATTCCTGTGATTGTGACTATGATTATAATCATAATCACACGAATGATTGTGATACTAATCATACGAATGCGTGTCATTACTAGAGCTGCGACATTCAGGCAGAATGCCATAAATGCTTTTTGCCTGTCTTTTCAGCCCATTTTCAGACTTTCTGCCTATTTGGACTTTTTCGTGCCATTCATGCCTTTTTAGGCATTTTCAAATTTTTCAGCAGACTTTTCTGGCGGGTTCACGGGCAAAACACCCACTAACTTAGAGCCATTCCTCAGGGTATCAGACGCCGATGCCGCGTGCACGCGGGCGACTTCTTGGAGAAGTCGCACGTGTCTCTTTGTTTTGAATATTGCCACGATCTCGAGCACGCAACGTCGAGGTGATGCGTGCCGACAGCTGTGTCCCTCGTGAGAGTTCCCTGTGCTTGAAGCAAGGCTTCCGAACGGAGCTATTTCAAATTCCCGATAGAAGTCAAAAGTTCTGTGGTGGGATCAGTTCGGAAGCAGTCAGATGCGACACTGAAGATGCCCAAGCACGCCACGAGCAAATTGAGCAAATTGGAATCGTACGTGTCGCTTTTCGGAGCAGATTGTCTGACCTGCATGGACCTATGTCGAATGATGCTTCAAAGCAACATAGCTCTCTACAAAACGCAGTGCTCGTCGTTTCGCAAATTCCTGCAGAAGTGGACGAAACAGCCGGTTCCTCACCACTCAACGTTAAGGAATACTATCTGAAGCCCACCTACGATGAAGTAATCAGGAGGATACAGGATTCGATCGGCGATTCGAAGATATGGGTTTCGGTGGATGAAACAACGGACGCGAAGGGCCAATTCGTGGTACACGCAGTGGTCGGCTCACTTGACGGGTCCAAAGCTTCGACCCCATATATTCTCACCTCGGAAGTTGTAGAAAGCACCAATCACGCCACCATCGCGCAGGCTCTCTGTAATGCTCTGAACATTTTGTGGCCGGATGGTTTGAAACACGATCGAGTGCTTCTCTTCGTGAGCGATGCGGCAAGGTATATGAAAAAAGCAGCCGAAGGCCTGAAGATCCTCTTTCCGGAAATGGTATTTATCACCGTGTCTGTGAAGAGCTACGGGAAGCGTTTCCTGACGTTGATTCTTTCATCGGCAACGTGAAGAAAGTGTTTCGGAAAGCTCCTTCCCGCATCCAAGTTTTCAGAGAACTCGCTCCAGGTCTAAGTCAGCCTCCAGAGCCCGTTTTAACACGCTGGGGCACCTGGCTGAAGGCTGCG